TTGAGAAAATTTAAATAATATTAAATGGGTTGGTATGTCATTCTGCCTACTACTTGTGGAGATGTTTTGTAATAAGACACTCTTTAACTACTTATCTATATCCAAATAAATACAAACTTTATTTTTTCGTTGTTTTTACCTTTGGTTCAGATAGTTTCAATTTGTTAAAACTGTTAAATGTATTTCTTTTTCTGTTAAATAAATCGATATTTTAATCGATTAACAGGTGTTGTTTTTGAATTATGGAAAGAATTGATAGGTAAATTTATTTTATTATCAAGTCACTTTGGGGAGAATAATAACGTTATTTTTGTATGTAGTTTTAAAGTCATAGTTAAATAATATTGGTTTATATACATGGCAATTTAATGGTGATTTAAATAAATGCATTAGTTTATTTGGTAGGAGCTCAACAATATAAGACAATTTAATATTGGAATTGAAATTGTACTATTAGAACTCGAGGGGTTTAAATACCAAAACTGTTGATTTTTATAGAAATATTGCAGAAAACGATTATGATGTAACTTTAGTTACCGAAACATGGTTAGGAGAGGGGATCTTGGATGGAGAGATGGTAGATTTAAATAATTTCAATTTAATTAGAGCAGATAGGAATAAGGAAGTGACTCAAAAATGTAAAGGTGGTGGTGTATTGATAGCTTTGCATAAAAAATGGAAAATATTAAAGGTTCTTAAAATAAGTACTTCTTTTGAGGCAATAATTTTACAAATTAGGGTTCAACATACGAAATTGACAGTTGCCTGTGTTTATATTCCACCAAAAAGTTCTCTTATAGTGTTTGAATCGTGTTTCAGTTTTTTACAAGATAATATAAAATGTGTAAATAATTTTTATATAACCGAAGATTTCAACTTACCAGAAATCAAAGGCACTAGTGATGCAATTAATATATCTAATGAAAAACTTTTTGCTTTCATTAATTTTCTAAGCTTTAATTCTTTTCAATTATTTAACAATATTCTAAACTTTCAAGGAAATATTTTAGATCTAGTTATTATCTATGACGAAAATGATTATAAATGCAAATTTCCTGTGACAAAGGAAGATGTATATCATCCTTCTTTAGAAATTTCAATTGATTTAAAAAAAATGTATTTCATAGGACCGATTTGAATGAAAATACAAAATTTTCCTACAATTTTAAAAAAGCAAATTTTCCTCTATTGTATATGAACTTATTAGAGCTACTGATTGGGAAAAAGTGACTGCACAAACTAATGTCAATAGTGCATTAGATGTCTTCTATAATATTTTAAAGTGATATCTGTAATGTTTAATTAGGACTATTTTTATTCATAATTTAAATATTTATATTCATTAACTGCGTTGTTTTTGTCCTGCACTTCCAATCTCTGTTCAATTAACACAACTTACAAATTATGTAAATAAATAAAAATACATTATTAGATAAATTCCTGCAAAATGAAATTTGCATATTATATTGCAATCGTTTTCTTATTCTGTATTTTTGCACTGGCGCCAATGTTTTTTTTTTCATTCATTAAATACGTCTACAAGAATTTGCTGACTAAGTTGCAAGCAGGTATCATATTATTGTTTCGCAATGACTGAATGAAATGTCATATTATATCAGTAGTACCTAATCTTTCGCATTGTTTTCAATATAAATAGCTTGTTTAAAGTTGCACTATATTGTCTTGACGAAAGCTAAAATCAGTTGATTCGAATCTAATTTTGTAGACGTTGTGAAAATTTCGCTAATAATATTTAATGAACCAACAACTATAATAAATTAATCAATTAGTGTTTATTAAATTTGGGTCGAAAAATTAAGTAGTAATGAGACAACTGTAGGTGAAAACAACGGAAGAGATAACAAGAAAATGATTGTTCGGAAGCGCAGTAAATAATTTAAAAATAATTTAAAATAGTGGACAGTAACCTAACCTTACCTAAATGAACTAAAAAATTAAAACTAAGAAATCATCCATTACTAGTACTAATTGGTTTATTTTCTTCTTTATTTGTGCTAAAATTTGAACTATATCATTTTCTGCGACTTTGATTTCTTCTCAATCGCCGTCACAGGAAGAAGGATTTCTTTCCATCAGCTGGGAGTAGTGGAGTGTAGAAATGTAGCCAGTAGAAGAGTGATGCTTTAAGATGGATTGCCAGACTTTATTTCTTCAGCAGAATTTTACATAGTGAAATAATACGAATACTTAAAGTTACGATTGATCAATCCGCAGGTTTAATACATCTCAAAATGTATGTCTCTAGTGGATAGCGTCGAACTCGCGACGCACATAGGGGTATTTGAACGATTTATATATTCATCTAAATTTTAACAATAATTAATAAAGTAATTAAGTGGTTAATGAGTTTAAATTAGTGCAATGTTCCATTAATGGGATTATCGCACAGAATACTAAAAATCTGTTAAAAGCAGTGGCGGCTTGTAACCAAAATATTGGGGGTTCACAAAAATTTTGCAATTTGTAAAAAGGCACTGGAGAAAGCAAAGATATTGAGGAGTCGGAAGAGTTTTTACCGTTTATCTTGTTGATAGAAGGTGTGAGTGCTTGAAATTGTGGGTATGTCTCGTCGTGATTTACTAAGAGAGCATCGGATGATAAAATAGAATATTGCCTTTTGCCCCTATGGAGGATGCATTTAACGTTCTATTTTTTACTAGACTTCTGTTAGCGAGAGTGAAACTGATTTATGAGTGTGAAAGAGTTAGCGCTAATGATTAAATTACTGGAAACTTTCCACACGAAAGAGAGAGAGCACTATACTTTGGCACTCAAAATGCTTGTAGATAAAAAGCAGGTATGCAAATATATTTATCCTGGAACTCAAAAAAAAACCGTTAAATTGCATTTACTGTTGCTAAGGGTCAGAGCCTGCTTCCAATTTTGTAAAAGATCTTTAAATTCGATGATACAGTGTACTGAATGAATAATAAAATACATTGTTCTTGTGTTAATTATATATTATTTAAACGGGGTGATTTATGTGGATTATAAATAGAGCCATTGAAGTATCTACTTTTACTATTAGCTCATACAAGATCTGAAGGTTCTGTACCTGAGATCCGTTTATCATGATAGTTATTTTTATTTGTGAAATTTTAGTTCATTTAATTTGATTCTTCACTGGCTCCATCTGCATTTGCTTTATCTGCATTTGCTTTATCTACATTTGCTTATATTGCTAAAGAAGTAGTGTTATCAGCAAACGTGGCGAATTTGATATTAATCATTTCTAGTATATCATAGGTAAATAGTAAATACAAGACAGGACCAAGGACGCTTCCTTGTGGTACTCCTACTTTAGTTTGTCTCGATTCAGGGTAACTCTCCTCTTGTTTCACTCTGTAAAATTGATCTGTTATGTACGATTCCAGAAATTGTGCCAATTTTATTATAAATCTATTATGCCAGACTTTAACAAACTCCTGCGCAGAGCAAAATTCTTTCTCTCTTTCAGCATGACTTTAAAACGTCGGAGAGAAAAAATGGCCCAGCGAAATTGGTGATGTTGAATAGTTCTTGTAGGTAAGTAAATTTAAATTTCCTTCTATGTGGTCACCTAGTTTTCGATTACAATAAGAGGAACACTGTTACGTCATCATTTGGCGAATTAATTCATTGGGTAACGCCGCCTATTGGGGGTTTAGTGGCTTGTTAATATTGCAATAGGAAATATTTTTTATACCAAACTTACTTATTATGTATTTATTGATAGTTATAGAAAATATATATTTGAAATTGGAAATAATGGTTATGACGTAGCGGTGTTCTTATTGTTATCGAATACCATCGAATGAGCATAAATAAAATGTTAAAAAACGTGTGCTTTAGGAAGAATAAGGCTACAACTTTATCGTGAATTTATGACAAAAATGCCTCCAGGATCTAAACCACACAGTACATCATAGTGCTATATTATGTTGGGAAAGAGTATGCAAATTTATAATTTTTATTTGTAGGGTATTTGGTTTCAAAAAGTATAAGTTTGGTTATGGGCTAGCCTGTATATTTAATAATTTTAAAATATATTCGTCAACGGTAGGTACAACTAGAATGATAAGTTAGAAAAGCATAATTACATATAAAAAATAGAATACAATTTAACTAAAGATGTCAGACATTTTTGGAATAATGTAAATAATAAAAGAAATAGATGAAACCTTGGTAACCATATTAACAATTAAAAACAGGTTGATGAAAACGAAAGTACAAACGCTTTTGTAGTCTATTCGTCAGTTAAAGCTTCATACTATTTAAATTTTCCTCTTGATAGTAATGACAATTTCGTGTTAAACACAGTTACAGATTTGGATTTTATTCTTGCGGTAAAAAAATTGAAGCCTAAGAAAACAGCTGAAGCAGATAGAATATATAATAGTATGAAATAATATATAACTCTCTGGTTGTTTCTCTGTATACTGCATATAGAAGGAGTTTTACCGAACGCGCTGTATACTTAAAGCTTCCTTAATACCTGTTTTTTTTATGTTATACCTTTGTGAGAGAATGTGGTTTTCGAATAAATATATATTTGAAAATATAAACTTCCTATTTATCTGTAAGATTCGCATCAATTTTATAAGATAGATAATTAGCATAATCTATCGGGAATTGGTAACTGAAAGTAATGGCGCTGAAAACTTTTGTTTTCCGTGATCGGACGCCAGGCGTCGGAGCAGCGTCGGTGTAGCGTCGGCGCGGGGCTACTGTGATAACACTAACAGTCAGTTCTCTACTTCCTATGGCTAAGGTGTGGCAAAAGTGTGTAGTATAATGACATGTTATTTGAAATGAGTAAAAATTTACCAAATTCACGCAGCGAACTAAGACTGAATTTAGAGAATTGTACTACTTCAAATAATGAAGATAACATGTCAAATGAGCTAGAGACCTCGGCATCTACTTCTGATGCATCTAATACGGTATTTACGAGTGTATTTTGAAAGTAGAAATGTTTACCTGTTGTGTTTTGTTTTCAGGACACCAGAACACACGTGGTGGTGGAGCTGTACGAAAACGAGAAGTGCTATGTAGAGTCACTCAGAATTCTTGTAACGGTAATGTTTATTTTTATTTCTATTTTAAAAACGATCACTTGTTGAATTTGTTACTCGATAAGTGAAACTTTCTTTTGAAAGAAGATGCGCCATTAAGTAAATGTTTTTGTTTAGTCTTTCTATGTCACGTTTTTGAAATTATTTTTTTGGCAAATCCTTGGGACATAGCTTAACTATAGGTTGCTGGGTTAAAAATGACCGTTTAAGTGGGTATAAAATTTTGAAAAAAAAAAAATATATATATATTTTACGCATAAAAAAAGTATACTGTGATATGGTATGGTATATTAAACAAAAGTGTCTGAATACAAAGGACCCGCAGTTTCCTTATGGCAAATGACATTCTATCGAATCTGCAGAATTGTCTGTTTCAATTTTTAACCTCTTAATTCAATGGGCACAAAGTTCTCTTCTCAGTTCTCCTACTACAACTAGTTTATGAGATACAGGGTATGGAACTTGTAAATTCTCATAATTTTCAAAAATACTTTAAGACGTAACGTTGTTATTTTGCTGATATTCATGAATATAAAAGTAAAATATCTGTTTAATAAAATACAATACTAATCTTTTTAAAATACAACTATACAGAGTAAGTAATATTTAAATTAAAGTAGAAAATTGCATGTTTAAAAAGTCGTTTAACGCCTAATGAATGAATATATAAAAATTATTTATATATTGTTATGTTTTATATAAAGTCAAAATAAGGAAATTGAGAAAAAACAACTGAAATGCGTTAAATATAATTTAAAACACCTATTAAAAAATACAATGGAGGTTGATTAAATATATAAAAAATATTTAAATTTCAAAACTAGAAACAAAAGAAAACCTTTTGAACTAGCTGTTTCAAATATTAAAATGCTAAATATGTGTAAAATAATAGAAATTCATTATAAAATAGCCGAAAAACCTAAATAAAAAACAAATAGCATAAAAAATTAAAATAGTGAAAAATCATGAAATAAACTGAAATGTGTTAAATGTCATTTAAAATACATATTCTGATTAAAAAATCTGATGTGTCCAACACATGACTTTCCTATCTAGTTATTACAGGCTTTTTCCGGTTATTTTGTACAACCTATTGTAGTACCTCTGAAAACGTATAGAGGATAAACTAAATACAATGAAAACTTTACACTGTTCCTCCAATTTTTCCATTACTGTCCATTTTAGAAAAATCATGTATAGAACAAAAATTGTAGAGATCGATAACGCAAACAATTTTCTAAAAAATCAGAATTTTACATATTTTGTCAAATTTTTCGAATACGGACCATTTTAGGAAATTTTTTTTATGGGGCAGAAATTATAGAGAGTAATATAAGAAGTAACTTTTTTTCTTCTCCAAACGTAAATAACGGATATATTCCATAAAATATAAAAACGACCCTCTATAAAGTACTTCCCCAGATGTTCCGACTCTGCCCAAGATCTAATCAGTTCACCCCAGGCCGGAATAAAGCTTAAATTTAAAATTTGATGTTTTTCTTTGTATCCGCTCATGAGTTATCAACGATACAGACACACAGGCAGACAGATACACACATACATCATCGCGAAAATAGTCAAATTGAATTTAGGGGACCTCAAAATGTAAAAATCGGTCGAAAAAAATCATGATTCCAATACTTTCCTTATCTGTATATAGATAGGAAAGTAAAAATTAAAATAGAGGCAAAAAATATCCTAGTCTTATAGTTGAAAGCCATGGCAAAATATCCAAAATCACAAATGCGCATGGGGTTAGACGCCCCCCTTGCCCTTGTGTAGCGGCGCCCATGAATAGAGGTTAATTAAAAAATAAAAATATCTTTAATCGCAAAATTTTAACATTTGTTATAATACAGACGAAAATTAAAAGAAATCCTTTTGAATTAGTCGTTTCAAGTATTAAAATTTTAAATAGGAGTAAAATAATAGAAATTTATAAAAAAAATAGCCGAAAAAGCTAAATAATCAACAAATCGCACAAAAAAGTAAAAATTATGAAAAATTGTTCTTGAAACAATGACCTAACACACTTATACTAAATAACTATTACTTGAAATTAATATTTAAGATTATATAACATTGTAAAATTAAATATGATTAAAATTATGAATAGAATTGAAAATTAAATTGCTTAACATACAAATATATTAAAATTTATTAAAATGTAAGACCAAAGGTAGTAAGTCCCATAAAATTGTCCTTTTACTTTAGTTTCTAGAATATAATACATAATAGGTCATCTCACTACCTTTTTTTTAATATCCACGAAGTTTTTTCAGTTAAATTATTACGACGCAACCACTAAAACGGTTTTTTCAGTATCCTGTAAAATTTATATTTTGGGACTTACGACATTTACATGTTAAGCCGACGATATGTGGCGTAGAGATGAAGAAGTCACTAAAAAACCAGCAGAAAGTAGTAATACCTACAGAAAGATCTAGTCATAGGAACATGGATTAACTTTTTAACACTTTTTATTGTAATCATAATATAAAAAACAAAAAATATTAGTATTCGAAGAGATATTGTGCCATGTTTAGGTTTGCTGGAAAACTGTTTATTTTATTTAGTTTTTCCAATGTTTTTATCCATTTCTGGTTTCTTCTCGTTCAATAATGTATATACCATGGGGTTAGATTATGAATTATATAATTTTAAATTAAAATAAAATTGTATTATGCGGATATTTTATTTTAATAATTTTATCATAAGCGTAATGATATTTAATTTTTAAAATTAATTATATACATTATACAAAATGATCACCATTTACTTCCATAAATGGTATAATCTAGTTTAAAATGCCTCTGGCGTAAATGTGTAACTGTTAAATACCGAAATAATAGCCCGGTATGATAGGTAAGAATTTAATGTGTGCGTCCACCAAAAAACCAAAAAAAGATTTCACGTAATATCTAAGTTTTAAAATAATATTTTAGCCCCGATTACTCTGACATTATACTGATAGGGCCATTGTGATTGGGCTAGTCAAATATAAAAAATTATATACATAAAATTATATGGATTTCTTTAAAAAACCGAAATTTTCACACAGTACCTGTTTTCTACATTGTTTATGGAACAATTTTAACAAAATTTTAAGAATCAAAATGGTTCAGAAATTTTTAGAGGACAAGTATTTTTTTAGTAGCGGCATAAATTGCAATCGCGTATATGGCCAGTTCTAAGTCGGAAAAATCGATTTTATTTTGTTTTCAAACTATTTTATCTTTAGTTAAAAACTAGTTATAGGTTAAAATCAAAAAATATGTTGTGTCTCTTCTATGCTTCTGTAACTCTGTTTTGATTTGTTCTTTCAATATTGTCACATGTAGACAACAAAGACAAACAAAATGGCTTTTGTATACATTCCGGTAATAAAAGTGTGTTAGTTTTCGTGCGAAATAATGAAAATCAAATGGGCAGGACATTGTTATTTTAGACCTTCTGTTTGTCCACATAGTAAATAAAAAAGTTGCCCTCTTGTGATGCCCACGTGTTTCATATGAGCAGAACTAAATCCCGAGGTGATGTATGTTCATTCACATATTATTAATCTGAATGAAATAATTGCGTTTTAATCAAATTGCGTTTGATATTTTCTGGATATTCGCATAATATTTATGTACTACGTCGTAGTAAACGGAAAATTTGGGCCCGTTGTTTCTGAAAGTATGCAACAGGCAGTAAATATCGTCGAAATAGGGATTGACCACAAGCCCGGGGAAAACCACAATTGTTAAGAAAAAAGCACTTGTAAGGAATGAAGGAACTTTATATATGAACACAATATCTAAAAAATGGCAAAGGAATCACCCTTGATGACAAGATTAGCTGCTGCAGCCACACAAAAAAAATCGGTACATTTTTTTACCCAGAACTTCCCTCGAAATAGAAATTGTAGAAACTCCTAAGCACTTACATTTTAATAATTTAAAATTATAACCACCATACCACAAACTCTTTTTAACCTTCATCTCTTCATCGATATTTCTCTTGATCCCACCCGAATTCTCACTTCGCGTCTGTCCGGTCTTCTTCGTCACGTTCGCCGTTATTGAAATGGTCCAGTTACACAAACCAAAAGGACGTTTTTCATTATTTTCACTTATCGATAAGCGCGGATGTATGTTTAAGTCAATTTCGTTCGCGTAATAAGTGCAAATGTTTTTAATAGTAATAGTTTACAAAAGTGACAATGATTACTAAATTTAATGTTTAAAAACAAACATAAAACTATACCTGTAAAATATATATTGAGGAAATGGTATATGTTCCTTTGTCAACCATTCTTTAATTTTATTAACAGTCCAAGAATTCGTTGGACTTTTGTTTAATACTTCGGAATGGTAAGGTGCATTGTCAAAAATAATTACGCTGGGCTCACTTAAACCTGGGAGAAGTTTTTCATGCAACCATTTTACAAACATTTCTTTGTTCATATTATCGTGATAGTCACTGGATTTTGATTTAGATGAAAATATTAAATGAGCACTTTCTATAAAACCCGATTTCCCTCCTGCATGTAAAATTATGTGTCGCTTCCCGTCTCCATCGGTATGTTCGATGGACTTTACGTTATCATCTTGCCATATTCTCTTGGTTGCACTCCTAGAAGCTATCCATGTTTCGTCTAAATATATAAAATTCGCCCCTTCTTCATTAAATTTAGAATATTTTCTTAGAAAATTAATGGCCTTTCTGTTATCCTACTTTTGAAATTTGAAACCCAAGTTATGTATCACTTGCCATAGCCTTGTTCTGCCAATGTCGTCAAATTTTCTATCTATTAATTCCGAGAGAATTGTATTTAAGGTCACATATTCCTTGTTGGCCCTCATTCGATAAATGGTATCACGAATTTCAAATTTCTTTCCATCTGGAATATCTTTCGTTTTCAATGATGGGCGAGTTTTGCGATGATCTTCTTTCGGCAGTTCACTATTGTGATTTTGTAATACTCCTCTTAATTTGGTTTCACTAATTCCTAGAGCATC